GTAACAAAGGGCATCGCAACTAGGAGCAAGGACGAAACTAGTAGCTCCTGGCCTTACTACTAGTAACAAGGAGCTACTAGTAGCAAAGGGCATCGCAACTAGGAGCAAGGACGCTACTAGTAGCTCCTATCAATTTCTTTCAATTTCTATGGGCCCTCATAGTTGTGTCACGGCGAGTCCTATGTGTAGATTTTATCGTTGCCAATTGGGCTTCAAGTCCAGGGCTGTGAGCTTGTCGCACACCGACCGGAGAAGCGGTTCCAAACGCTGAGCCGCTAGGCCCGCCGCGTGGAGGGGGTCCAAGGTCCGCCGCAGAACAACCCCGCTCCTCACTGAGCTGCTCACTGCGGAGGCTTCTCTCCTCCACCAAAGAGCGGCGCTCCTGGCTGTTCTAGCCATATGAGAGTTTGGCAAATGCAAAATTGTGTAGTACATGGCAACATAAAGTTATGGCTATGGTATATTTAATGCTCACCACTCAGGAGTAACACTGGAAGTTGCCGCAACTCTCCTGCAGTTGTCGCTTCTTCCGCGCCAGCTCACCTCGCAATGGAATGGGGCATTCAAAGAGACTCGCTTGCCTCCCAAAGCCTTCCCTTTGGCATTGATTATAAGCATTGAAGCTGAAGCCTTACATATTCATACATATTCTATCATGTAGATCATGTAGATGTTGTTCGTCCCGCAGATCAAATTATCATGTAGATAATTGTTGTCCCTCAGATCAAAGAGGTTTTTCAGAGAGAAAAAGGAAAAGGATGTTGTTAACATTTGACAAATAGTGCCTAGTGGATCCCAAAAGCTCTTTTGCCTCGTAGTTCCTCAAGCTGCGCCATGGCTTGCTGCAAATCTTCGGACAAGGTCTGTACAGCGCGCCTGGCGATCAAAGGAATCACTATTGGTAATACAAACGACCAAGTAGTTAGATAATGTGTTATATATAATTGTATATACTAGTTGTTCTACAGTAATTTGTGAGGTGGCGATATATATACATATATATATTATATATATTATACAGTAATTTGCTCTTGGTTCGGCTCATAATCAAATCATATCAAAATCGTATACATATATATATATATGATATCTACAAATGTACGTAATCCTTTTCAATGCTTTCCATGAATCCACTGGGATGCCCCACGACTCCTCAGTGGCGCTCTCGTGGGTGTAGGAGGCTTTGAGGCCCAAGCTCCGCTCCAGGGCGACCTCCCAAGTGGGTCCAGGATGTCCAGGCCCTCTTCGTTTGTCAACGGAAAACACGGCAAAAAAACCGACCAAAAACACACAAAATCCTCAACCTCCACAAATTCACACCAAATCTTCCCATCAAGAACCCCTCAAGTTTGTTTGTTTGCGTCCCTATACTGGCATTCTTCACAAAGTGTTCCCATCCTCTCCAAACACAACCCACTTGGCCCACCGGACTCCGTTTCGCTCACGTCCCCGTCCGGAGGTCGCCTTCCTCCGGCGCAGCTCACGGCTGTCGGTCTCCTGGCGGAGCTTCCGGCCATGCGCCAGGTCAGCCTCTTTGGACATCATCTGACCATGGCGTTTGCCTCATCGCCAAACGGAACAAGAACGTACCGTTCACGGAAGACAAACACCTCGTATGAGAGGGAGATTCAAGGGATGTCTCCCATCTATTCCTACTTTTATGTTTAGGGTTTAGGGTTCTCCCGTGAGCTGACAGCGACCGTCTCCAAGTACATGCTGTGTGGACCTCTTTTCGGCCTTCGGGGAGTTCAGAAAGGCGTCTAGGTTCGCTGAGGTTGTTGTGTGTGCATGTTGTACTTACATTATCTTACATTATCCAGCTTTGGTGCGGATCATGAAGTGCTTTGAGAGAATCTTGTAGATTTTGGGGTGGCCTTCCATTTCACCAATCGACTGAACAGCTGCGCTTTTGTGTGACCACTTCGAGTCTTGTGTGTCCAGGCATGTCAACTGATTGTCAACTGTACATTTCTATGTCCCAGCCACGTTCTTGCAACTCGCGGGACATCTCATCCAGAACTCTCTGACGCTCTTGACACTGCCCTTTCGCCAGTTCCACTTCCTGTCGCGCCTTGGACATTCACAGCCACCACTTCAGCCCAACAGAAAAAAATGTGGTTTAATGCTGCCGTAAATGTTGCAGTAAACATATCACTGAGTAAAGTAAGATGTGCTAAGCCAACCCTGGAATGTAAGCTGTCTCTTGTCTCATTTGTCTCCGTAGAATGCGAAAGCCCTGACGCTCTGCCGCCCTGCCTCATTGAGGGAGGTACTTTGACGCTCCTGAGCTGCTTCCAGATTCTCACGCTCCACCTGCAGCTGTGATGCCAACAAAATTCACACAAGTGTGGAACCGCAAACTACACATGCCCCTTCAAAACACTCAGAGAATCAACACAGCAATGGACTGGCCAAACTCTGAATCTTGCAAGGCATAAGGCATAAGTGTTCGGCTCCAAACTGGGATCAAGCAAAACAACAATGGGCAGTGTGAATTGGCAGTGAAAAGGAAAAAAACAATTTGGCATCTCAAATGAAACGCGATTGAATCGAACATGTGCCTGAAAACTGAGCTCCTGTCTCTTGACTGCATCTGCCAACGCCTCTTCTGCCTCCAATGGCAGAAAAAAACGACCATCAGACTGGGGAAGTCTGCCTTGCATGCCTTCAAGTCTGAGAATCACGACTTCCTGTTCTGACTCGCCTCCCTCTGCCCCGGCCTGTGCTGTTGCCCGAAGCCTTTCCTCATCTAAGGTCCGCCGTAGCTCGTTCAGCCGCTCTTCACGCTGTGAACGCAGCTGCCTCAGGACACTTAGCCACGCTTTGCACGACCACTAAACTCAGTCTGTGATTCTGCTCGGTTCTGTTGCCTGGCAGGGAAGAAGGTTAGAGGATTCTCCAGTCCTTATCCGCAAAGCCACCAATCTCAGAATGTGTGCAACCAATGCAACTTATATATGTGGAGCTGAGCTGAGCTGACGCTATCAGCGTAAGTTTTGGCAGTGGTTTTGGCTGACGCTATCTTTCTTGCATTGAACCTTCTCACATCTTCCGCCATCTTCCCACAATGCTATCAGTGCATCAAGCGAAGTTAAGCAGATCGATCACCCTGTCGCATTCATCGGGTTCTGTCGGTGTCCGGTTATCGTTGGATTCCAGTACCTTCACACCCTTTAACCCTTTCCCCTCACTTTACTACAGTAACTGATTCCAGTGATCGTTAGGTGAGTTGCTCCATGACCTGCACGTGCTCTGTTTTGAGTTCTTTGCTGGTCTCCTCAAACCTTCGGCGGGGACCAAGGTAAAAAGGCTCTCTGGACAACATCAGCATTGGGTCTCACAGAGTCATCATCTACACGAACAGAACCATGATACCCATGAATCAGAGCATCAACAGCACTGCTCAGATTTATATCTCAGAATGAACACTGAAACCGAAAGAACTCGAAAGAACTGAGAACTCTCCAACATCAGCGAACCTTCTCTCCAGCTCCTGTCGTCCTCGCTGCGTTTCGGCTGCGATCTGTCGCACCAACCATTGTTCGTCACACCCTGCGCGCGCCTGACAGCCACGAGACTAACGCTCTTGGGGTACTGAGAAGCTGCCCAGTGATGTGAAATGACATGAAAATGAAGAGTAAGAACACGGATACTGTAGGTATAACATTGCACAACTACTTGAGCTCAAAATGATTCAAAATGTGTCTATATAATTCCATACAGCATTATACGACTACTTGATATTGCTTGACTCACTGCTGCTGAAATACTCTCAATTGTTGGGTGCCTCTGCATGCTGGAGCTTCCTCTTTAGCTCCTCTGCCTCCTGCCGCAGATGAAGAGCACGCCGTTGGGCATCATCACTCCAGGCTGAGACGACAATGTCTGAGGCCTCAAGAGTGCATATCAGCGTATCCCATGTTGGACGTCGTTTAACACTGCCATTGCTATTCTGCCAAGATACTTTTTCCTCCTTTCTCACTTTATCCTGAAGGCATCAGCGCGTAACAAGACCCACTGAGGCCACGCATTTTGGAAGATACTGCAGAACCAAACATATTTTTTTTATAGGATCGGATAATTTGATCAATTCATGCTTTGAATTCCAAGAATAAGACATCAATTTTAGGCAATTTTGCATGCCTCCCTTTTTGGTGGTTTGGCACTGAAGCAACTGCTCCGCTGCTGGGCTCCTTCAAGAACTCCATGGCACTCTTCGCCTCCCGCACGCGCGCGGCATATTTCTGTTCAAGGTCCTCCACCCGGCTGGTGAGCCTCACGCTAGGACGTATGGAGCGCTCAAACTGAGAAAAGCAGAAAGCTTCACCAGAATGGCACTGACAGCTCTTTCCAATGCTCGCCCGGCCTGTGGCTGGCATCGGAGCTTTGCTGGTGATGCTCCTCCACCCTTTTGGCCACCCAAGCAGAGATCTCTTCGACCTGTTGAGATCAGAGTCAAAACTCAGTATTGACAAACGACACACGACGGTATGGCTGCCAAACGGTCATTCGCTTTTGAGGTGAGAAAACTCGCAAAGGTCGTAGATGGGAAAGGATAGCCTGATATTTTGAGAATAGGCTGCGGCCAGCAGCCTTCAAACATTCACCTTAAGGAACGTGTCCTACCAAAGAATAAACTCCAGACCCAAACATTCTGCACAATGTGTTTCCCTAGACACCCTGACGAGGGCTGCTACAAAGGTTTGCTGGAACTGTCCGGCATCGTGCCTCTTTGATTTTTGCATCTTTCTGTGCCGTGAAGCGAGCTTCGTGGCCATCATGACGAGTATAGAGAAACACCAGAGCCTCTCCAGGGCAACAGGATGCAACAGGTATCTGTGGATTCGCAGAACCGATCCAAGTCCGCGCGAGGGCCACCCTGCTTAAAGCATGGTCGAGGACCCTCATTTCTCCGCAACATCCTTTTTGTTCTGTCAATGCAAGGAGGATACGTTTGCTAGCCAAGCCAGACTCCAGCTACCGCACCCGCTTAAAACCGAAAAGATTACCAAAAGGTTGGTGGTCTCAAACGAGATTGATCGAAGCTGAGGAGCAAGGAGTCGATCTCGGATGGTTGCTGATCACTTCGGCTACAGTGCAAAATGTCAGCCTTAGTAAGCTTCACGACCTTCTGTGTGAGTTCATCCTTGGCTTCCTGAGCAAAGTCTGATCCAATTTGATATGCAAACAAAGTGCTTGTAGTTGTAACATCTTGTAACAGGTAACAAAATCGTGACGGCGCCTGCACTGTCTCATCTTCAGCGGCAGTGTCAGCCATTGCATTTGCAGACTCATGTCCGGTGATGCATCAGCTACAGCTAGGCACAACTGGCATAGAATTGCATGGTAGTGTGGCTTAGCCAAAGTTGCCTTTGTCGCTTGGCCGGCACTTCCTAGGAATTGTCTTTGGATTGTGATGGAGCTGGTGCGGTGTTTATGTATCTTTCCTCAAATTGCGTGACAGAAAGGTTGACCTTGAAATTACCTTCATACGCGAAAGCCTGCTGAAACAGGGGTCTGTTGCGCTGTCGCGCAGGCTGTCGCGCAGGTTGTCGCGCAGGTTGCGTTGCAAAAGTGATGAAAAGTGCAGCTGCCTTGGCATCCAAAGAATCCCACAGGTCATTAGTTGATGACCACGCCTTCTGCTCCTGGCGTACATGGAGCAAAGAATTCACTTTTCCAAGGCTAGAACCTATGTACCATGATATTAATTCATTATAATACAAAGTACAATTTATGAAAATACTTAAATACAGTAAACTCTTTCCAAGGGGTCTGTCGAGTGACGTGGGCCCAAACACAGAATGCAGCTTTTGTCTAGCCGTGTTGGGTCTCAACAGTAAGCATTGACAAGCTGCTAAAGACATGCCTGATGGGCTCTGTCGTGGTAGCCATTGTCATTGTCGCGATCTTCGCGCTGCCCACGATCATCGCGCATCTCACGGTCTTCACGCTCGTACGATCCAGAGTGGCTGACATAGCAATTATAGCTGTAGCTATAATCTTGGCCGTGACCTCGGCGGACAACATGCGCAAGCAGGTGAGTAGCTAGTGGTGTCAAGGTCATTCCCTCGAATTATTTCTTGCTGACTCTGCGACTCTTCATCTCAGTTTCATATCACATCTGTACTCTGCGAAGAGCATGTGTAGTGTAGTCTGGTATTCTTCCCGTGAAGTGGTAGGATATCATAGTGACGGTCAGGGTAAACTATTGCCCAACATCTAAAACGATTGGACAGGCGTCATTCAGGTCGTGCCGTGTGAAGAAATCCTGGATGCCTAAAAGCTACAAAATTGGCCAAACATGTCAATGCGTGTTGTCCTTCGGTGGACCTTCTCTTAACTTTACCCCTGTTGGCCATTTACTTTTGCTTAGTATGCGGCAGCAAGGAGAGGCTCACGAAAAACTGATGGTTCTCTATCTCCCAGCTACAAACTATGCAAAGGCCCCCCCCCCCGAAGCAACCTCAACAACGCCACAGGCCCTCTTGGGGCCACGCTACTCCGATCTTCGTACGAAGTTTCCCGCTTCCGCGGGTAGTAGGTCCCTGTCACATGATTGGACTCCACATGCTGAGTTCGCTGATCTTTGTGGCGGCTGACAATCTCTTGTAATCTCGACTTCAAATATTCCTCTTGAAGCGTTTAGGGATACCTAGGAAACATGCCAGAAGGGGGTGCTGATGGCAACAACGGAGCACAATTGGGGTTGATGCCCTGTCTCAGCCGTTCTGCTTGAATGATCTGTTAAGAATCAAAACGATTATTCCTGCTGACCAGCCATGCATCCTGCAGGTAGAAACAAAGGAACATCCTCCAGCACGAAGCCCTGAGTGGCGGACCATCTTTGATTCGCTTCACGTTGCTAATGATGAAGGCGGAGTGATTCCGGACTTTGTGAGCATCCCTGGGCATGCTGCGAGTAGCTCTGACTCGGTGTGAAGGCCATGAAAATGGAAGGATGCAGGAGCAACAAGCATACAAAAATATGAAAAAGGACATGATTGCCTTGAATTAACATACTTAAAAAGGATGGTCCAAATGTTCAGCACAAATGAATGTTGGAATGGTTGGTAGAGAGTCAAATGAATTTTCCCTAAAAACAAACTAGGAACCAAATGAATAGTGCGAGCGCTTCTTCAAGGAAGCGTGAGCTATCCTGCGTCCTGTCGGTAGTAGCTACTCTTGCTTCTACTAGCTGTATACCTCCCTAGCTAACCTACTTTACCTCCTACCTACCGGCCTACCCCCCCGGGGTTTAAAAAACAAAGTGACTGTCAAATAATGATCTCAATCCGGATCTCATGATCTCAAAGTTGTTTTCTCTTTCTGTAGAATTTGGCCGCCAGGCTCTGTCAACTCCTCGAGGAGCATCACCTGGAACAATTTCCAAGTGGATCTTTGCCACAGCTGAAGCACTAGGGACAGTACAGCTGCTGAGGCCTTAGAATGAAATCCGTTGGGAATGGGAGCCTTCTTGAGCTCGATGTTGTGGTTTTTCTACTGGGAACCTCTCGATGGACCTGCTTGGACTGAACTTCTTGGGGGCCCTGCCCCGAAACTGTAAACTGTGAGGCGATGTTACATTTGCTCCTGACCTAGTAACAAGAAGCTACTAGGGGCTCCTGGCCTTACTACTAGGAGCAAGGACGCTTTTAGGGGCTCCTGGCATCGCTATTGGTAGCATTCTTGCTACTAGGAACAATACTTGGGAAAACTCTCCCCACTTTGGAGTATGTCTCCATCAATCCCGAAGGCAAAAAGGTGGGACATGCAAGCAGCTCGGCATCGAACCGACGGCAAATTGAACGAAACCGAGAGAATCCAGTGTAGCTATCCCTTCACCAATCCTGGGCAGGTGTATTTTTTGCCCTCTGCACCTGTTTGCCTTCTGGAATCTCCCCAAGAGCTTCTCTGGCTCCAGTGTCGACGTTCAAGCCATCTATCAACCTGCGGTGGGAAATTCGGAGACTGACTTGGACACATCCCATGTGGCACATCCCCAAAATCACGATCTTCCAGTAACCTGTGCTTGCTAGTAGACAAGCTTTTAGGCCCAAAATCGGCAACAGTCAGTCAGTCAAGCTTTTTCTTGCGTTAGTGCATGTGCGAGCTCGCAATAAGGGCGCAGCCCTTGTGGGCTAGCACACTCTGCGTCTCAACCCAAGGCAGCGAGCTTATCAAAAGCTCTGCTCATGGTAATGTACGTCGGACGATATTGAATGGCTTTTTGAAGTTCTTTGTTGGGATTGTGAGGTCTTCCTGAATTTGTTAAGATCTGAAGCTGGCAGCACGCCGTGCCCGCTGCCGCTTAGACTCGAATAGACTCGCGCAACTGGACTCCAGGTCCAAGTGCCGCTCTTCCGGCATTGGTGGCAGTTTTGGTTGAAGCTCGAAGGATATGTTCTTTTGAGTTAAAACGAGATCGAGAGGTGCATACCGTATGCATGCCGTGTATATGCCTTCACTTTGTGTAAGGGGTTGTTCTTTTGGGGGGTCCTTATTCCACATCTCTGCTGACGGGACCGATTGAACTGATCACACACGGCATGGGTAGTCTAGAAGTCTTGCTGATGGTTTCTACGCTGACATAGGCCAGTCACGGGTCAATATGGCGCGAGAGCAGCGGTATTCTTGAAGCCTGGAGGGACAATGGACTGCAAAGGTAAACGTGTGACAGAAGCTCCAAGTACAAAATTAGAGTCTTCTGTACAAGCGGTGTATATCTCATGTAATGTGTATATATATATATATCATGTGTCTTTGTATGTGTATATATATATATATGTAGCAGCAGTCAAATGTGGTCAAGCACAGTATGTTGTCAATTGCGGTCGTTTGTTTCCAAAGCGGAGGGCTGTGTGCATAACAAAAGTGAAAACAGTGATTGACGCTGAGGATTCACCAAGTGGCAGGAGCGCAGCATGGCGCTGAAGACGGTCTGTGGCCCTTGAGGCCAACCCAAAAAGCCTCGGAATTGTCGAATTGTTTTGTAATGTGTTGTATGCCCAACAGGAACCTGCAAAACATTGAGTACGGATCTTGGGAACCTCAAACTTCAAGGGGTGGAAACCGGACTTTAAAGCAACAACATTGATTCTGGCATCTCCTGGTGACAGCCACCCAATTCTGTGAGCTCGCCGGTGGCAATCGCTGCCTCCACAAATTGAGAGGGACGAAGCCAATGAAGCCCTCCAAATTTGGTTTTAAATATGTTTTAATCAAGCCAAGGTGTCTTTGAATGCAGGAAACAAAATTATTATGGGATGCCGGGATGTTTATTATAAGAAAGACTAGGGAGAATGCGGGCGACCCCCCTTGCAGTCGGAGTCCACCGCAAAAACATGCTCATGTTTCGCACCTTTCCAGGACCCAATCTTCTTGCCATGATGTCCATTCGCACCACTGTGGGCATGGTATGCGTCTGCGCCTGGCGAGGAGAAGATAAAGGGGCACCCCGGATCCTCCTAGATTCTGCGCCTGACTTTTGTCCAGTCCTCTTGTCAACGACTTAGTTGGGAACTCTGCGGAAGTCTGTGCGAGTACAAAAGACTTCAAACGCCGGGCCGCGGCAAGCTGTTGCGGAATGCTGTTGCGGTGCACTCGCACAGCCCCATTCGGCCACCAGAGACTCCGAGAGATTAAAATTATGATATGAATTTGTCAGGACATCTGCAACGTTCGAATGTCTGAGCATTTCAAGGACATAAATCTGCTCAAAACAAATGTTGGGCGGCAATCTGAATCACACCCTAAGTGCCTCTTCCAGTGTGCCCCGTGTGCTCCCTGCCTGCAGCCATTGAAGCCACCGTCCAACCAACTCCTCTGCCTGCTTCTCGGCATCGGCCATGGCGGCCTCGTCGCTTTGGAAGGTCATGTTGATGGCCTGGGGTCGCAATAGGACAGACATTGACATTGTGCAGAGTCAAATAAAAAGCTCTATTGCCCACCGACTCCATGTCCAGGGTGTTAGGCTTATATTGTCTAGAGTTTAGAGTTTTTCTTCGGCCAATAAAAGCACGATCCTTAGTTCTTCGATCTGGTGTCCAATAAGTTTCATCGTTTGCGGACCATCCTGGTCTGTATGTATCTCATTGTCTGTCTAGAGTCAGATGTTTTTCCAGGGCTTCTCCAAAATGCTCTTCAAACCTGGAGCGACCATCAATCCTTGCAACTTGCGACCATCCGTGGCAAGGTGCTGTTTGTCGGTCATACTTGTCAAAATCGCGGAAGCAGCCGTCATCTCGAGATTTGAAGACGGTGTACACAATATACTTCGGCTTCCAAGTGGATCGATCCTCAGAGTGGCTCGATCCACGCCGAAGTGCAACTTGTGTAACACACTGCGCCGATGGAGTAAGCGGGATAGAGTAAGTCACTACAGTAAGTATGAGATAGTGTGAGTAAGTATTTTGCATTTTATCGAGCGTTGTATTGCTTGACCACTTCGAATGCTGCTGTCTCATACTCCTTCACCCAAATCAAAACACTTTGGAGGCCAATGGCTCATAGTGCCATTATGATTCTATTGGTCGGTCGTCAACCGTCAACCGTGCATGTCCCGGCAGCTTTGCATCAGCGACCCAGTGGTGTGCTGCATCAATCAAGTTGTCAAACATCTGTGTCATTTGTGGACTTGTTCAACCCACTGAGCATATCCATCACACATGGCTGTACTCAAAAATAGGGTACGCTCAAAATGCGCTGGTAAATAGAACACATGACTTAACCTTCCCTTCCCTGGCTTATTATTGAGCCATGTTTGCATGGGAATGCCAAGGGTCATTGAGATCAACCTCCACCAAAAAGTGCCTCATTTCCACTTCAAAGTCAACCCACTCCTGAACGAAGATCTGGTCAACCATACTGCCTCAAACAGGAAGCCGGATAACATCGCGGTTCTTTTGCCGAATGCAGGTTCTGCAAATGATCCAGGGACACCTTCTTATACGGCTCAAAGGAAACAGCAAAGTGCTCTGCTTCAGGTGGAGGAGGTGATCAGATTGTTAAGTGTTAAAAACACGGGAATGTTCCAAAACCTGTAGTGACAATTCCACTCGAGCGGTATAGTCACCGACATACTGCTGGTATGATGTGAGTGTGGTCTCCTGGTTGATTGTTTCGGTGCGTCTCGGAGCACCGTCTTGGAGTGTTTGTTCATTTTGGCGCACCTGGCTGTTCAACCAGAGAAACGAGTGCCCGCTCCAGCTCCTGCTTATTCCTCCAAGCTTGGACATCCATTGCCTCCCAGCTCCTGAACATGTCCAGAAGGCTCGTGGTGTTGCGTTGAGGACCCAAGTTCATAAGCTAGGTAGTAGAAACCATACAAAGCCTATGAACATCAAGGTTGGCAAGTTTAAGGAGCCTGCCCACATGATTGACCAAAAATTGGAGAGTTTCCAATCGTCACCGACACCCTTGGAATGATCTTACGGTAAGTAAACCGCTTAAACAACTTGACTGGACAATCGCATGTGTCTTCAGCTGGGTGGTCTGTAGCAATTCGGCCAAGCGACCAGCCAAGCTTAGCCACTCCCTTGTTAGGATATGGCTTTTCTGGCTGCCCAAGCTGGCGGTTCCAAGATGCTCTTGCATCCTCAGATATAGTGGGCAACGCCATGCATTGTGTACGGAACAAGAATGAGGTGCTGTCTCTCTCTATATATATATACTTACTTCTTCGAGAGTGCTGGTCCGAAAGATGCAAGTGACAATAAGGATCTTGCTCCATTGGTGAAGTGGCCAGTCTCCAGCGGACTATTGGATAGATAGGGTCAGCATACCTACTGGGCGTACGGCCTACTGCAATGGTTGATGGACAAACTCCTGCACCTCCAACAAGAACCGCGAAGCCCTTCTTCTAGTTGGGGTGGACTGTGGACCTAAATGATATATATATATACACAATTCTGTAAATACATCAAGAACAATGAGGCTGCACATGTTCTTGTCCAGAGTCCGGTGTGAGCTCAGCACCACTTTGAAGTTCTTCAGCAGCTCTGTGGCTCAAAAATAGGATACCCCTCCAACCCCCTGGTCAAAGGAAAAGATTCCTAAAATTTATGGGTTCCAAGGTGTTCCTGTGTTCCTTTGTGAATGATAGGGATGATAATGGCTGATAAAGGCATATCCAAAAAAAAGAAACGGTATCATCATCATTTACCGACTGGTATGGTGAATCAACCCTGGTAGACCCCACCTTTGGTTTAGAACATCTCAACTGCACCCAGCACAACCTCCAGCAGTGCGTTGCAGTGTATGAGTCGGAAAGAAATATTAGAAAGGACTGCTTTAAAGGCCGCTCTGCACACCTACCTAGAAGCGATGGCCTCCAACCTAAAAGCAATGGCCTCCAACCCAATAGCGATGGCCTCCAACCTAATAGCTTGGTGTATGAGTCTATCTGACTGTGTGACAGTTGTCGCATGTGCTGATGTGATGAAGGCATGGCTTTGGCGCACTCCCCCACCAGTACACATGAGAAGATCAAGCAACTGGTATAGCCAAGGGTGGTCCCCGTCTTTGATCCATAATTGAACACTCCCTCAAAATGATCCTTTTATGACTCTCACTGGATTTACTTCGACACCCACCGACTTCGTGGTCCGAGTCCATTTTGCCCAAGGAACTGCCAAGTTCTTCAGCGCCTGCATTGCATCAATGGCGGCCTTGGCGGGGTCCGACGCCACCGCTTGACGCGCCACCATAGTGGTGAGCCTCAGATTGCGGTGCTGTGACAGCCGAGAAGAAGCCGGTCTTTTGGAGGTGCCATGTGTACTAAAGAAGTCACTGAAACGCCAAGTCGCTTCGTTAAAGCACTAAGCCGGCTGGCTAACTGTTCCAGTTCTGGAAGAAGAAAACATCATCAACTTGCCAGTACAAGTAGGCTCCTGGCCTTACTACTAGTAACAAGAAGCTACTAGGGGCTCAAGTGCGTCAAGAGTGCGGCACTTTGAGCAGCGGGTGGAGACACATTTGGGCTGTCCACTCCTCACAGGAACTAACAAAAGTCCGCACAACTCGGCAAAATATGGCAACATGAACGAGATGAATACGAGATGAATGAGGGTCGTACGTGAGCCTGGCTTTCTTGCCAAATCGGCGTTTTCTCTCGGTCCTTGGAGGCAAAGATCTTGTACAGGTGAGACTCGTGCGGAAAGCGGCTTGGAATGCCCGCCGCCTACAGTGAGCTGAAGCAAAAGCTGGAGAGTCAGTGGAAGGATGCCGAAAGGTTGGGGGAGTGCATCCACACAGACCCCAGCGCAGACAGCAAAGGGCTTGTATGTCGGCTTGCGCCTCCATCTGCACCATCAACTCAATAAGTTTCTCTCTTTGAACATAGGCAGGAAATTCGTGGCCATCTTGGAATGCAATAGGCCACATAAAGTAGCAAGCTGCTACATGTTGACCTGACCCGGGTGAAGCGCAGCAAAGGCAAGTGCGGCAAGAACACAAACAATCAACACCGTAACGTGGTTCGCAAGCGCAGCATGTTCAAAGCACCGATTGAAAATCATTGCCTTGGAGTGCGGCGTCGACAGTTCGAAGTGTCAAAGTAGAGCCCCGAGAAAATGCATTGATCTTACGAGTATAAAGATCGATGATGAATATTGAAAATTTAGGGAGGGAACATGTGAACAGATCCTCCCTTTTGAGGACATATATCCAATCTTGCCACTTTGGTCTTTGAGTTGAATGACGTCTGTAAATGCTCAATCCAACCACCCGCCTTTCAACAAATGCCGAAGAAGTGCTGGTGCTAATTTGCCTCCAGGTGGTGACGGGCTGAACTCCAGTGAATTTCACCATGCTCCAAGCGCTTTGCAAGGAAGTTCGCTCCAAAGTGATGAATCCAAAATATTCCCATCATTTGGATTGCAGACTTTCAACGCAAGCCAAATACAGTATATTCTCAAGAGAGACTATCAACTGACTTCAACTGGCAAAGTCGCAAACATTCTTTCTTGTGGGCTTATATACCCTCCTGTAACAATTGGTCTTCAAGTGCCGGTTCTTCTATAAAAGACCGCACGAGTGCATAAAGGGATCTACAACTAGTCCCTGACCTTTAGGGCTGATTGACCAGTATCTACAGGCCGTCGTGCTGTTGATTTTTGATTTGATCTTCATGGAATGGTTCCTTCTAGGACGGGTCGTTTCTCTTTACGGTGCCTCCATTCTCAGTAGCAGTACATAATAAGTAATAACATGTATAGATAGATAGATAGATAGATAGATAGATAGATTTACTACACAATAAAGTTTTACTAACGATATAGTTGATATGTAAATATATATATACATACATACTTAATATGTATATATATATATTTATAGATATGTTGGTCAAAATGATCGTCCTCGATCGTCCTCATACCTAGCGGAGGTCACTGGAAATCGGTTGAGGGAACCCTTCCAGCCATTGGAGCCTAATTCATCTGAGTTCTGGATGAAGGCTGAGACGATCTCATAGTTCGGGCCCAGCATTCGAAACACAACCTCAGCAAGTTGAATCCTCTCAACTGAGCTGCTGTGGCTTTCCTTCATGCTCTGTTGGACTTAAGACCACAGGACAGGCAAACTCTGGAGCATAATCGGCAAAAACGTGGTGCCAAGACACATCCTCCCAAGCATTGATGTAGTTGTCGGATGGATCTCAGGACAATGCATCTCAGGGCCAGCAAAAGCCAGGCCCAAACAATGAATCGTGTCATACTATGCTATCACTGCGGTCCCATACCTCTCCAGAAGAGCTTTCTCAGAAACAGAACAATGGCTCTCCAAGTCCCCCTCTTCCGGCCACAATGGCTCGGTCGAAAGATCGCCTATAAACCTCTGGACGGACGAACAAAGACGAACTCGACTGTACCTGGTTGCCTGGTCAGCCTCCTGAATCACAGGATATCCAAAAGCAAGAATGTGCTGCTGAATGATGACAAAGCACTGGATCCGGTGGCGCCCCAACCGCCAGCACCCTCGGTCACAGGGTTCACCGGCTGCTCTCCGCCCCAGCGCAAATGGAAAAGGCCTTACAAACGCCAGCAACACCCAATGCAGGGAGTGCAAATGTCTGTCTTGAAAGGTGGGCGAGACAAACTATCAAGCGGAGTCCCCAATGATATTTCGTTGAGGTTGGTAACTGTTCTTTGCTTTGATCTCTATTTCCAGGGTTCTAAGTGCACAGGAGCCTGCTGTTTTCGATCCTGCCAAGAACAAGTTGCTGGTAGCACTACTGGATTCAGGATTTATTGGTGATGGGAAGCAGTTGTCTGTCAAAAGCTTCAAAGCATGATTGCATTGTATGATTGAATTGCACTGAGAGATATTTACCCCCATCGCGTCATGGAGGGTTCAAGCTGGCCATACTAGTAGTAACAAGAAGCTACTAGAAACAAAGGGCATCCCTACTAGGAGCAAGGACGCTACTAGTAGCTCCTGGCCGTACTACTAGTAACAAGAAGCTACTAGTAACAAAGGGCATCGCTACTAGGAGCAAGGACGCTACTAGTAGCT